GGTGCATCATGCACCATAAATCTTTACCATTAGATGCATCTAATCTAATAGCTTATTATACACACTAAGTTTTTGAATTTTTTATTAAAATAATTTTTAAAAAAATAATTTATCCAAAAAAAAAATCTATTTACGCAGTGTTCAGAACGACCCGTTCTGCAATCAGAACGGGCCGTTCCAGATGAAAAAATAACACATGACGAACGGACAAGAATGACCCGTTCCAGATCCAAAACGCCCCGTTCCAGATTCAGAAATAACACATTACCAGTTAAACCAGAACGGACCGTTCTAAAATCGGAACGGGCCGTTCTAACTACAAATTTGTTATAAAAACCTTTTTTAAACAAAATAATTTTTTTTTTCATTCTACTAAATTACATTTAAAATTTAAGTATAATTTTTCAATTGATAAAGTTTTTCTATTAGAATTAGAGGTTTACATTAATTATATATATATAAATTTCTAATTCTAATTAGAAGATAACACCAAACAAAATTTTCTACTATAAATATAATTTTTCCTCATTTAAATCATTGCAAAAATTTTGTTAGCTTTAATTCTACATCTCGACATTTTTCTTAGAGCTGTCAAAGTGGGCTCCAGCCCGTGGGTCAATCCGGCTCACCTTGAAAACGGGCCGGGTCGGGCAAAAAAAATGAAAAAATTTATGATAGGTCAAAAATGTGACCCGACCCACTTTCGACTCGGCCAGCCCACCCGGATTGAACCCGTGGTGGGCCGGGCGGCCCACCTGACCCACTTACCAACCCATCCCCTAAACCCACTAACAACTCACTAACAACTCACTTAACTATTTATTATTATATATGCATTATTTTAATAAGATATCATTTTTTTATAGATAAAGATAAAATCAATGTTAAACAATATGAAATTACTATAAATTTATCTATCCAAACCTCTAATATAAATTTAATATTAATGAATAATCACTCTCATAAAAGATTTTTTATTTTTTTTGTTTTAATTTTTTAAAGTTGCACACTTATTAATTTAATTTTAATGTTGTATCCATGATACTTAGTTTAATAATTTTTACTTTAGATTAAATATTATTTTATATTAAAATTTATTTTAAATTATAATTTTTTTTTAAAATCAGGTGGGTTGGTGGCGGCCCGTTTATCCCACCAACCCGTGGTGGGCCAGGCTGGGCTAGAAAAATTTGCATAATAAATTTGGTGGGCCGGGCCGAGTTGGCCCACTTAAAAAGTGGGTTGAGGTGGGCTGGGCCAAACGGGCCGGACTGGCCCGTTTTGACAGCTCTAATTTTTCTCAATGACATCAAGCATCCTATAAATGAAGCCCAAAACAAGGCCTAATAAGCTTAAACCCCAAAAAAATTTATACTAAGGCCCATAATACAAGACCAAACAATATAAACTCCTATACTACCAAATATATGAGAAAGGTGGTCATCCATGTAAAGCCCAAGCAAAAAAGAGCCCTAGGCCCACCAAACTCATTGGGTTCACTAAGCTCTGAGCAATCAAAAGCCCAAAGGCCCATGAAGCCCAAAATTAGGCCCAATAAGCTTAAAACCAAAAATGTCTTATACTAAGGCCCATAATACAAGACCAAACAATATAAACTCCTATACTACCAAATACATGAGAAAGGTGGTCATCCATGTAAAGTCAAAGTAAAGAGAACCCTAGGTCCACCAAACCCATTGGGCTCACTAAGCTCTGAAGCAATCAAAAGCCCAAAGGCCCATGAAGTCCAAAATTAGGCCCAATAAGCTTAAAACTCAAAAAGTCTTATACTAAGGCCCATAATACAAGACCAAACAATATAAAACTCCTATACTACCAAATATATGAGAAAGGTAGTCATCCATGTAAAACCCAAGTAAAGAGAACTTTAGGCCCACCAAACCCATTGGGCTCACTAAGCTCTAAAGCAATCAAAAGCCCAAAGGCCCATGAAACCCAAAATTAGGCCCAATAAGCTTATAACCCAAAAAGTCTTATACTTACATCTCGACATTTTCCTCAATGACATCAAGCATTGATGGCAAAAACTAGGAGAAGTGATAGGTGTTCTTCTCCTTGGATTCACCAATGCTTGGACCGCTTCAATGGAGCTTGAAATCCGAATGTAAGACACTTGAAGGAGTGAAGATTTTCGGACTTAGGGTTCCTAGACTATGGATGGAAGCATCCAAGCTTAAGGATCAAAGGAAAGCTCACTTCAAA